CAATGCTCCTGTTTGAGGGGCTATGTTTTGGCTAAGTGAGAAACTTGACCATGAGCGAAATCCAATAAGCCACTAAAGTTGGATTTGTTGAATTAAAGATTTTGAAACACGGCTTCAGAGATGAGGAGAGGAGCAATTCCACTTCCTTGAAGAAGATAGTGTGACGGCTGAGGGGAGAACCTGGAGCAGACACAGTGGCCCACTAGGAGTGGCCTGCGGGCCAGGGTTTGTGCCCGTGATGTGCTGATGGCCTCTTGGTCCTCAGCCTCCTCGCTCACGTCCTACGAAGCAGCCGCCTGTCTGCCAGCCGGCTGGGGCTGATTGCTGGAGCAAGTGACATCACAGTGGCCAGAAATCACCTCCGCTTTGTCTCGAGCAGTTATGATGTCATTCTCTCTGGCAGCGAGGCAGGATGTTGGCAGCTGGGATTCCTCCGGGTCCCCCTGAAGTGATAATTGCCTTAGATTTTGTTATAAAGTACAGCTGCTAATTATCTTGTTAAATCGCAGCCATATACTTTTTGGATTTTTTTTTCTTTGCAATCCATTTAAACAGTCTGGGAGATTAAATAAAACCACCTACCCTAAACAAAAACAAAAACACAACCCAGACACACACACACACACACACACACACACACACACCTCTTCTTTGAAAGACGGTAAGAATAATTTTTAAAAAATGCAAAGGGCACAGATATGGCATAATTAGATGACTTTCATTAAAAAGCCATCATTTCAACATCGTCATCGAAATATCGGCATCCCATTGCATATTTTAAGCAATTGCATAATAAGCCCCCAAGTGAAAAACAGCAAAACTCATTTCCTGACCACAGAAGGAGAAAGGAATTACTATGTGCTCCGAGTTCCAAGGAGAACTGGGTTACGCTTCTCCCACACAGACTGGACAGAGATGGAGTTCATTGCTCCAGGAGAGAGAATTATGACAACACTTAACCGCTGTGACCCCTGCTGCTCTGTGCCCCTGCGCCTCTCCATGCCATTGGCCGTTAGCAGCCTGAAGTTCCCACTGGGGTTGCAGGGAGGAAGGGGAGAGACCCTGGCCCCATCCACTGGGCCTGGGGTGCTCCAGGTATATGGGAAAACCCGCGCTGGGGTTCAGCGTCCACAGGTGACAGGATGTCAGATGGCCCAAGCGTCATGGCCATTGCTGAGTCTCGATTTTTTTCAGGCTTCTGATTTTCATGGTCCTGTTGGGAGTTTACCAAGCAGGGCGGAAGAGACAGCCTCGTGTGGGCATGGCCTTGGAGCCCTGGTGCACAGGGAGGCCGACTGATACAGCCTAGACCTGGATCTGTATCCATACCAAGTGCCTCGGGTCTCGGGCTCGATTTTCCCATCTGTCAAGGGGGTATAACACTACTTCCTGTCTCCTAAGGAGGGTTGTGAGGGCTCAGCAGGATCATGTTGGGAAACACCTATACAAGCATAGCACTTAACTTGTAACAGAGCCAAAACACAGTCATGGATGTGGTGCAAGGGGACCCCCGAAGTCCGAGGTCACCCCTCAGTTCTTCCACTTTAGCGGCAGCAGTGGGGACGGCTTCCTTTAGGATGAAGTCTTGTTTTCCAGACAGGTCAAGGTTGGGGCTGTGTTGGGCCTCTGCTCAAGCGCAGCCACTCTCTCAGCTGCCTTGGGCTGGGACCACCTTTGGCAAGCATGTCCTCTCTTCATTTGGTAAGCTCACCTCCCCCTGCCCCACCCGCCCTGGCACTGGCTCCTTCAACAAGCACTATACTCTGTCTGGCCAGTACCTCTAGCCTGGGGAGACTACAGCTGCCACTTCCTTAGGGGTGGACCCACTGCCCAGACGTATGCCTGGTCGGCTGGCCTGGCCTGAAAACAGGTGTCCGGTCAGAGGTGGCCATGACCTTGTGCTAGAGGCGCTGCTGTACTGCCATGCCACCTGAGAGTCCCTTGTAACCTCTCCCTCGGGGGCTGGCGGCTCCTCACGGGGCGTACAGCTGGCCAGGAGCTTGGTGGGCTCCAGCGAGTGACGCTGCTTGGCCTGGCTTTTGGGTGGAAAGGATGAGCAGGTTGCCAAGGTCAAAGTGCTCCCTCTGCACCACAGAATGCAAGCACACAGGCATGCCTGCCCTCCCCCTCCCCCACCCCAAGTACACAAACCCATCTGTTTGTGTATAAGTGGGCTGTGGGGCTGGGGCAGAGGTCTGTTTCCAGACTGGCTTGTGTGTATACACACAAAATCCCTGGAAGGAAAGATAAGAACCCAGGACGGTAACTGGGTGGGTGGCAGGGATCAGGGGCGGAAGGCAACTCCTCACTGTCCACTCATTTGTTCCTTTGGAATTTTGAGCCTTGGGACCATATCAGCTATGTAAAAAGAGCTAAATACAAATAAACACAAAGTCATGTCTCAGTGTGTATGAATACATACCCAAATACATGTACACATATATGTACACGCACCCATGCAGACATATATATGCTAGTGGACATCTATTATTTGTGTTGACATGGCAACCTGATTTCCTTTCAGGGTTGGTATTGACCTTAACACTCACTCCCCCTGTGCACTGTGAGGATAGGGACATGATCCAGGCCTACCAACCAGAGCTCAGAACATCCCCTGGCTGCAGTGATTGGTTCCAGCTTCAGCACTTAACACAAGCCAGACCAATGACAGCCCTCCCTGCAACTCGTTATTGCTATGGGAAAAGGGATACTCTCAGGGGTTTGCTATTGATGAGTGAACAGGATATTAGCCCAGACTGGCCAGCAACTGTCTCAGCCGGGAGCGAGGGGAAATCCTGCCTTGGAATGAGGCCAATGCTGAGGAGAACAGAGCGGGGTGGGAAGAGAGAGAGCAAGGGAGATGAAAACAAACAAGCCGTGTCCTTTGTTGCTCCTGGGAGCTCTGGAGCCAGCCTTGCCTGAAGCGGGCTACAGCCATGAACTGGCAAGTTCTGTGAGCAGGTACTTCCCACCCATCGCGTTCCCCTTTGGCTTGAGTTGGGTTTGGTTTGAGCTGTGTTTCTCTCCTTTACGACTGAAGAAGTGCCGAGTGCATACATATTTATAGCTGGCCCTCCACATCTGCCGGTGCTACGCCTATGGAGTCATCCAACTGTGGATTGAAAATATTCCAGAAAAGCACCTGCATCTTTACTGGGTACAGATATTTTTCTTGTCATTATTATCTAAACAAGATAGCATAAGAACCCTTTACATAGTATTTGCATCTTATTAGGAATTATGAGTAGTCTAGAGATGATTAAAAATTTATGGAAGGGGGGCCAGCACTGTGGCATAGCCAGTAAAGCCTCCACCTGCAGCGCCTGCATCCCATATGGGCACCGGTTCAAGTCCTGGCAGCTCCACTTTCGATCCAGCTCTCTGCTATGGCCTGGGAAAGCAGTGGAGGATGGCCCAAGTTCTCGGGCCCCTGAACCCACGTGGGAGACCTGGAGGAAGCTCCTGACTCCTGGCTTCAGATCAGCGCAGCTCCAGCCGTTGCAGCCAGTTGGAGAGTGAGCTAGCGGATGGAAGATCTCTCTCTCTCTCTCTCTCTCTGCCTCTCCTTCTCTCTCTGTGTAACTGTGACTTTCAAATAAATAAATACATCGTCAAAATAAATAAATACATAAATAAAATTTACTAGAGGATGTGTGTAAGTTCTGTGCAAATAGTACATCACTTTATATAAAGGGTTTGAGCATCCATTGATTTTTTTTTAAAGATTTATTTTATTTATTTGAAAGACTGAGTTATAGAGAGAGGTAGAGCCAGAGAGAGAGAGGTCTTCCATCTGCTGGTTCACTCCCCAGATGGCTGCAATGGCAGGAGCTGTGCCGATCTGAAACCAGGAGCCAGGAGCTTCTTCCAGGTCTCCCACATGGGTGCAGGGGCCCAAGGACTTGGGCCATCTTCCACTGCTTTCCCAGGCCACAGCAGAGAGCTGGATCGGAAGAGGAGCAGCCAGGACTAGAACCGGCGCCTATATGGGATGCCAGTACTTGAGGCCAGGGCTTTAATCCGCTGCACCACAGCACCGGCCCCTGATTTTGATATCTACAAGGGGTCCTGGAACCAATCTCTCACAGTTACCAAGGGACAACTGCACATGAAACAGTCAGGATGAGAAGAAATCTCTAGAACAGCTGAGAGCAGCAAAGGAGTGATGGAGAAAGTGTCCAAGGGGTTTCTCAGCAAGTCCCACCTTGCCGCTGGTGGATATGGGAATGGTACCCGTTCAAGGCTTGGGTCTGCTGCCTTGTTTCCCACTGGCTCTCAGCCCCTCTGAGCCACTGCCCAGCTGTCTGGCCTGCTCAGACAACAGTCCTCATCCACTTGACCAAGCCTGTTTGGCAGTTCCTTCTCCCTACATCTTTTTGGCCAGCATCTTGGTCATCTGGCCAATGCTTGAATTTGAGCCACTGAAACAAGAAGACCTTGACCCATGCTTCTATCTGCTGTTTGCCTTGGCCAAGGCTTGCAATGGCGTTATGTTGAACTTCATCTTTCTGTTCTTAAAAAAGAGGATCTACCAGGTCTGCTCTGAACTCTTTGAGGACCATGACCTTGTTGGTCTCCCTTCTACTCCCTCCCTCTTGCCATTCCTCTTTCTTCTTTCTTACATCATCTAATGTTTATTGACTTGGGAACTGTTGCAACCGTTACTGCGATCCAAGACTCCCCATTCATCCTGACACCTCTCTTGGCCTCCCCTTGAGAAGGGAGGCCTGAGGCAGGACTCACCCAAACTCCAGGGGTAGATGGAGAGACACGAGGGATGCAGGGAGCATGCAAAGCTGCATTGTAGGGGAGCTGCATGCACTCCCCCACACAGGCAAACACCGGGAGCGTTGAGCTGTGCCCCTACCTGGTGGCCGCAAGTGCACTGGGGAAGCATCAAGGGAGACCAGATGCTCCTGAGACATTTCCGCCCTGTCCGGTCATGAAACCTTGGTTGAGAGGGGCTGGGTAAGGTCCCTGCACTCTGCCATCGGGGCATATTAACCCAGAGCCCAGGTGGCTTCAACAGCAGCCCCCAGCTTCAGAAACTTGCTTTTTGTGTCCACGTAGCCATTACCTCTCTCCTCAGAGTGAACCAACTTTTCTGCTACCATCACTGCAAAGAATCTAGGGACTTGGGGAGGCCCCTCAGCACAGAGGTTCAGACAGCTGGGGAACTTCGCTTCCAACCTCTTCCTGAGCTGCAGATACTTGGGCTCCACACTCCCCGGCTCGCACGGCGAGGATCATGGCTGGGGATCGTCAGCCGGTGAGGGGGACCAGAAGGTGGGAGCGTGGAGGCGCAGAGCCCATCTCGTATTCTGGTCTCTGGCTTTCAGACGCACGCAGTAGAGTTAGCCGCACAGCTGAGATCATGACTCGCTGCCTTTCTCATTGATCCCCGCGTAGATCCTTCTTGTTTTATCTGTTCCCTTTGGTTCCCTCTGTATCCCTCATCTGTACTCCATCTTCTCCCCCCGTCCCACCTCCAGGTGCAGCACCCGCTCCAATATATATTCTTTCAAAGACATGTGGTAATTTATGGAGTACACATGTGCTTTTAATTTATAAGAAGAGTAATTTAATATAAAGCTATAAATCTTCTTCCTCTTTCACTCAGCACGTTGTCTTAAAGATCTGTCCATGTGTTGTATGTAAATCTGGTCTATTGCTTCTGACTGATACCCGGAATTCTGTCACATGTATCTACCACCATTGCACGGGTCTCTGAGTTAAAGACCTGGGGGCTTTCAGGGTCATAGGTTTGCCACCCACGTGCCCCGCAGGGTCCTCCAGAATGACAGTGTCACTTGGCAGTTTCCCCAGAGTCGCATGGGTCCCCATTTCCCGCATCTTCTACAGCGCTTGGTTTTATTCAAGTTCACACGTTTTGCCAGTGTTTTCAGCTTGAAGGGATGCTGTTGTGATATGTATGTCTCTGAGTGCTTTTGGGGGCGGACAACGTCTCCCTCTGGTTAGGTATTGGATGTTTTCTATCTATGAATTGTTTGCCCATGTTATTTGACCATTTTTGCCCACTTTTTCCCCTGTGGATTTTGGAAAAAGAAATGGCCTCTGAGTTTGTTATCTATTTTGTTAGCAGTGAACGCAGGCAATATCTAAGGAAGCTCACACATGAGGGTGATTTCATGGCAACCTTTAACTTAAATATTTGCCTTTTCCCATTAAAAGTCAAGTTCACTACTTACTTTCTTTTTTATTATTATTATTTATTTGAAAGATAGAGTTAGACGGTGAGAGAGAGAGACAGAGAGAAAGGTCTTCCTTCCGTTGGTTCACTCCCCAAATGGCCGCTACAGCCGGAGCTACGCTGATCCGAAGCCAGGAGCCAGGTGCTTCTCCCGGTCTCCCATGTGGGTGCAGGGCCCAAGCACTTGGGCCATCCTCCACTGCCTTCCCGGGCCACAGCAGAGAGCTGAACTGGAAGAGGAGCAACCGGGACAGAATCCGGCACCCTGACCGGGACTAGAACCCGGTGTGCCGGCGCCGCAGGTGGAAGATTAGCCAAGTGAGCTGCGGCGCCAGCCCCACTATTTACTTTCTAAGCTAAAGGAATAGTTTTGAAGCAAATGACTCAAAACAATTAAAAAGTGTACTTCTGGCCCCCTTTTTTTGAGACAGGGGAGAGGAAAGATGGCACATAGAATGGCAAGAAAAAACCATGAGAACCCAAAAGGGAAATCCGGAAGGGAAAGAAATGATAATCATGGAAAGAAAAGGCACAGAGAGGGAGAAAGCAAAGAAGGAAGAGAAGAGGAGAGAGGGAGAGAGGGAGAGGCAGAGAGAGGCAGAGAGAGAGAGAGAGAGAGAGAGAAACATGGTAAAAGACAAAATGAAATAGTCAGTCCCCAGTTGACCATGGTTGAACTTCAGTTTTTGACTTTACGATGGTAGGAAGGTGATACGCATTCTGTAAAAACCGTATTTCTGTTTCTAACTCGGATCTTTTCCAGGCTAGCTCGGAGCAGCGAGATGCAGTCCGGCGATGCTGGGCAGCAGCAGTGAGTGCAGCTCCCAAGCAGCCCTGCTGAATCCTGAGGGAAAAGCACCACACTCTACAGCGTGCTGTGTTGCTGAGCTGATATGTGCCCTGGGTTAGGGGATTCGGTGCACTCCACTTACAATAGTCTCAACTTACGATGGGTTTATCGGGGGGAGTAGCCCCATCATAAGTAGAGGAACACCTGTTGCAGGCACAAAGACAGACAGTGGGAGAGAGAGAGCAACAGTAGAATGGGTTTTGAGCCTGCTCAGAACTCCCAAGCCTCAGCAGTCTATCCTGCCATCTCCGTGCACTTCTACCCCGTCTGAATCCTATCTGCAATGTCCTCTGGTATGATGAACCCAGAGGCGCTCAGCTGTAGCCTGGGGGCCGCTTGGGCTGGCCCTTGTATTCTCCGCACAGCATTCAGGGGCTGACTTCACTGTTTCCAGGGCCCCCGTCTCTCCGCCCAAGCGCTACCGCTTCCAGCCTGTGTGTTACTCTCTAGTGACTGTTCGGGAGGGAACTTGCCTTCTGAGCGCGCTGTGGGCTTGTTGAGGGCCAGCTGCACTCCTGGGCTCGCCAGCTTCCCTCTCCCAGGGCCTGGGCCTTGGTCAGGAAACCTTTGCTAAGCGGCTGCGTGGTCCTACACCACCCTGCTCTCACCTGCGCTCGGCGACCCGCTCGACATCTTGGCGCTATTTCTCGTGGTGTGGCTGGTCAGAGCTAAGTCTGAAGGGCCAGCATCTCCCGGCGTCGAGGCTGTGGACTGGTGGGAAGGAGCTGAGGTCTCTGTTTAGTAGGATGCGCTTTAAATCTCACCTGAGATCTGAGCAGGAGGCAGCACAGCGCCCGTGGAGAGGAGAGGCATTGCCTCGGAAGGCAGTCCACAACCGAGGGGAGCAATGGTTCCAGAGTTGTGTCACAGGAGTCTCTGTGGGGACGGACTGGGAGTTCCGTGGGAGCTTTGCCAAAGACAGAAGCCCTGGAAAAGGGCAGGATGCTTTCCTGGTGGTTGTTGAATGACCTGGAAGGAGAATTTATGTTTCTTCCAAACCGTGGCATTACTCGTCACAACTGAACTTTCTAGAAACTGTAGTGGTAGGAAGAGGAGGGCGGACTCCATAGAGCTCACACCAGTAGCCCCTGTTGGTTCTTAAATCAAATTCCTTTCTTCCAGGAGTACCGCAACCTATCGGAAATATCCGATTGGTCCTGTTAATGAGCGTTGGATAATAGCTGAGACACTTAATGCCACTTCCGGCCAGCCCTAATATGATGCTCTTTCCTGTTACTTAAGAACTGAGTGGCTGAGAAAGGGAAGAGCAACTGGGGTTTGGTTCTCCTTGCCCCGCGGGGTGAAGCCAGGCTGAAAGAGGTGCTGAACTCGGGTTGGCTTTGCTGGGTAGGGAGGCAGCCGGAGATGGGCGCACCTGTGCTTTGTTGCGACAGCGCGATTCTTTGTTGTTGAATTAAACCTGCGCTGGGCTCAGCTCCCTTGCTTGGGATCCAGGAGAGTGGCGTAGCTCATGTCTTCTCCCTTTTGCCTCTCTCGCTCTCACGCTGGACCTTTTTTTCCCTGTAAGGAGCTAGAGAGCCATCCAGTGAGGGCTTTGTGTCTTAGGAGGGCTTGGAGGAAGGACGGCAAGTGTGGTGTGAGTGGTAATTGAGGACAGGAAGCTGCCACTTCAGACGGTCACATGAAGAGAGGGCAAGAAAGGACAGGCCGGTGTTGGTTTTAGAACACCCTAGAACAGTGGCTGCGAAAGTTGACTGAGGGAAGAGGGATGTTGGAGGGCCTCCTGCAGGAGCTGTGTGGCAGGTGTTTGCCTCGAAGGGGACATTTGGATAGGGGTCAGCAGAGCTGCATAGGGGAGGAATTTAATGCATTTCCAAAGGGCGCTCCCTCCTCTAACCCATGTCCACGGCCAAGCGGCCTGGGCCCACCCCAAACCTACTACGATTCATTGTTTAAAAAGATGCCTGCAGCAAATCCTCCCAAGCTTCCCCTTCCCCCATGGCCCCTTGGCAAGGTGACTTTGCCTTTCCTTCCCTGGAGACGTGGAATCCTCTCCTTTTGAGTCTGGACTGGCTCGTGGCCTGCTTTCACTGTTAGAATGTGGTGGAGTGATGCTGTGTAACTCCAAGACCAGAGCCCAAGTGATCTGGTAGCTTGACTTTTCAACTTTTCCTGGGCCCCTGAGACCACCATGCTGAGGAGAAGCCCAGGATGGCCAGCTAGAGCCTGAGGAGCAATGTGGAAAACTAGGGCACCCCAGCCAGCCACAACCAGCACCAAATTCCACACAGCTGAGTGGGATCAATTTGGAGCCTCCAGTCCCAGTTAACCCATCACGTGACAGCAGGTGCATGAGCAAATCCAGGCAAGATCAGCAAAACCACCACACGAAATAATGAATCACATTTTTTTTTAACAGGCAGAGTGGATAGTGATAGAGAGAGAGACAGAGAGAAAGGTCTTCCTTTGCCGTTGGTTCACCCTCCAATGGCCGCCGCGGCCGGTGCGCTGCGGCCGGCGCACCACGCTGATCCAATGGCAGGAGTCAGGTGCTTCTCCTGGTCTCCCATGGGGTGCAGGGCCCAAGCACTTGGGCCATCCTCCACTGCCTTCCCTGGCCACAGCAGAGAGCTGGCCTGGAAGAGGGGCAACCGGGACAGAATCCGGCGCCCTGACCGGGACTAGAACCCAGTGTGCCGGCGCCGCTAGGTGGAGGATTAGCCTATTGAGCCGCGGCGCCGGCCCACAATTTTTTTAAAACAAGATTTATTTGATTCAGTAGACGAAAGAGCCACTGAGCTAAAGCCAGCCCTATTCATGTATTTGAAAGGCAGAGTTACAGAGAGAGAAAGAGAGACAGAGACAGAGAGAGGGAGAATCTTCCATCTGTGGGTTCACTCCCCAGATGGTCACAAATGTGGGGGCTGGGTCAGGCCAAAGGCAGGATCCAGGAGCTTCATGTGGGTCTCCCAGGGATCCAGGGACTTTGTCCATCTTCCACTGCCTTCTGGGGCACATCAGCAAGGCATTGGATCGGAAGTGGAATGTCCAGGACTCGAGCCAGAGTCCATATGGGATGCCAGCGCTGCAGGTGGTGGCTTTACCCACCAGGCCACAGCGACGGCCCCAGTAAGTCAGTCTTTCAAGCCATGAAGTTCTGAGGAAATTTGTTACACAGCAAAATATAAAAAAAAAAACCTCCCAAATCAACATCTTCTTTGTGATTTCCTTTGGACCCCGGTCCTTTCTCTACTCCAGGTGATCTTGGTGGGGCTGCCAATCATCGTGTCCCCAGGTCACCGCCCTTCTAGCCAGTCATCCAGAACATTCTACTCCAGGGCTTTAGCAATGGATTCAGGGTTGCAGAGGGGGCCCACCCGGCCCAATCTACTGGGCGCCTGAGATTAAGTGTGTCACTTCCTCCGGCGTCCTTGTCTGGAATCCTCAGGATGCCATGGCCACCTTCCAACCGCACTGAGAAACAGGACAGAGACACCGAGAGCGAGCGACTGACCCCCGACAACACGGTTGAGCCTTTGGAAAGGGTCAAACTGGAATTCAACAACTCGGAGACTTCCCAGTTGTGCAGCAAATGCATTCCCTTTTGGCTTGAGTGAGAGGGACATTGCGTGGAGCACCTGTTTCTCGCCTCATACATGGAGCAGCCCCACCCTGTTCCCTGGGGGCAGTGCTTCCTGCTTGTGTAAAGCCGCCATCTTCTTTGTTGGTCTTGCCTGCGGTACCCATAGTAGACTGCATTTTTGCTCCCAATTCTTCAGTCTATCCTGATAACAGAATTATACCACCATGCCCACGTGACTT